AATTATTTATATTCTTTGGTTCAGAGATCCTATTGCCAGGTAAATATCCCCAAAAGGTCGAAGACAAAGAAATGTCCCTTATACACTGCTATTCAGAGTGGTACATTTGGTGTGTATGTGTGTGTGTGTGTGTGTGTGTGTGTGTGTGTGTGTATGCATACATATATATGGAGTTTCCATTGATTGTGGAATGGTGGAACGAATTATTGTTTTAGGAAAATAATAACATGTTACTTTGCAATGAGAAACAAGGAAATTCACAGAAACATGCATGGGAAGGAGGATGTAGAATAAAATATATTTCAAATCCATCATTGCCGAAGTAGACAAAACTATGATTATGGCATTTTGTGCACATATATGTTTTATTGGTTAGTTTTGTTTTTCTGTTCTTCGTAACAAGGAAAGGTAAACGAGATGTAGTTAGGAATATATTTGAAATTGACTGATTTTTTTAAAAGCATAAATAATTATGAAAAAAGAAACAAACAAAAAATCCCTCAATATTGTTTATAGCTTTGTTATCTGAGGTCAAGCAAAACCAGTCTAAACCCTCTGCCATGTGTCAGATGTTCAAAACTTGAATACAGCTATTATGTCATATCCTCCTAGTTTTCTTCTCTAAGTTTTGTATGCCTCAGTTGTATCACTTAGTTCTCATTTGGCTTGGTTCTATAATCATCCTAGTTGTTTTCTTCCAGACCTCTTCCAGCTTACCTGTGCCCTCCTAAAAGGTGCTCCCAAGAACTGAAAGTAGTTCTTCAGATATATCTGACCAGGGCAGAGGACAATACAGCTTTTAATTCTCTTGGGTTGAACACTATATTTCTCTTAATAGAGCCTAGGAAGATATAAACATTTTTCACATTCTTTATGCATGTTAATTTTGCAGTTGATTTAGAATCTTGAACATTCTATGTTTTGAAAGTATTTTAACTTCCATTTTACTCTAACATTCTGTTCTTTGTCATTCTCTTGTCTAAGGTTTCTCCTAGTATTATGGTTCTCTAGTCTCTTTCTGCTTCTCTCTCTCTCTTTTTTTTTTTTTTGGCTAGGCAGTGGGGTCAAGTGACTTGCCCAGCTAGTAAGTGTTAACCTCCTGAATCCAGGGCCTGTGCTCTATCCACTGCGCCACCTAGCTGCCCCTACCTTTCTATATCCTACAATCTTTATTCTGATTTTCTTTGAATCAGGGTGCTTTTCATTTTTAATATTCTGTAGTTTTTATGATTTTCAAAAGACCTGAGAAAGTCACATCCTATTTACTTTTCAAAGATTCATTACCAGCCATCAATAGCAAGAGTCTCAAAGTACTAGGATTCAGATAGATCATATCCTGAAGGATTTAGCCTTCACCCTACTTAACTGTTGTGGACAAATAAAATGTCCCAAGAATTCTGTGCATAGGTTATCTACTCCTCCCCACCCCAGGACTCTTAATTGCAGGATTTCACCAAACAGCTTGAGTCAGGGGCAAGCAATATGATGATAGAAATTGAAATCATGCCATATAAAAATCATTTGAAAAAAATGAGCATAAATGGGATAATATAACTTGAGAAGCATATGATCTCTGTTCCAGCCATCTAACAAGTTGTCTTCTGTAAAACAGATGACATTTAGTATGCTTGAACCCAAGCATCAAATCTAAGACCAATGAGAGCAAATTATAGGAAAACAGAAGTCATTTGAATTTAAGAAAAAAACTTCCTAACAATTGAAGTGTCCAAACGGAGAAGTGGTTGGTACAATAGGTAGTGAGTTTCCCAACAGCAGTAATGCTAAATACAATCTAGATTCATTCTTCTTGGGAACATCCTAGAGGGAGCTAATGAAGCAGACTGTGTTCAGACTAGGTGAGTTATGTGGTTCCTGAGGAACATAGTAATGGAAAGAACACAGAATATGGAATCAGAGAACTAGAATTAGAATCGGAGTTGTGATACTAACTATTAATGCGTCTGACTGTGGACAAATCGTGACGTCTATTCCTCACTTTCTTCTTCTGTAAAAGTAGGGATTGAACTATTTGGTCTCCGTGATCCTTTTCAGATCCAGGATATATGCAGCCAATGAACAAGAACTCATTAAGTTCCTACTCCATGCCAGGCACTTTACTAAATGTTTGGATATACAAAAAAAAAAAAGGGCAAAAGACTGTCTCAGTTCTCAAAGATATAACTCTAATAGGGGAGATAGGATGTAAAATCTGATTAATTACTTTATTTTATAGATCCAGTGAGATATTGGTACAAGGACATTGCCACAGTATGAGAGAAAAATATGAGGTAATAAACTGACCCACATCTGATTGTATTTTATATAAATATATTTTTAAAAGAATCATGAACTTGACAACAACCATGAACATTTCCATGTAAAAAAGACAGCAAAAGAAGATTGCATATGAAATCATGAATCTTCCATCTATGTTGGTTTTTTTTTTAAAAAGAAGTACAAATCAACTATAACATAGTAGCAGACACTATCCTTTTTGCCTGTGACCACTTTTGAACTTCTAAAGCAGGTTGACTTTTGAGTAGGTTGCTTAGGGTGAGGTTCTGAAGAGTGAGGGCAGAGAACAAAAATCAACCAAAAAAGGAAAGAAAAAAAAACCCTGTCCAAACACCACATTATACTTAATTGAATTAGGAGTCTCAGTGAATTATATGACCTGGTTACAGTAATTGCATTAAGCAACCATATTATTTCAATAATAAAATAAACCCATTGAAACAGATTATTTTCTAGGGTAATTATTTAACTAATTTAAAAGTGACAGTAGGATGGATGTTTCCAATCTTGGCATTTTATGATCTCTTCACTATATTCCACCAGTTCTTGACAATAACAATACAATATATTTCAGTAGTGCAATGATTTTCCCCCTAAGCCTTTTCCCATGTTTTCCCATCTCACAATATATGTATAAGAGAGCTGGAATTAGTAGCATCAGCATTTATTGTCATCCCATCACATTATGGGTTTTCCTTCTCTTGTGTACTTAAGTCACTGGGCCAAGAGGAAAAAGAGGAATACCTCTTGTTTCTCACTTCCATTTTCATATCAGTAGGCAGCTGTCACTCAGCAGCTTGTCCTGCTTTGAGGCTGACCTCAATCCAGTCTGTCCTCCACTCATCTGTCAAATTAATCTTCCTAATGAACAGATTTGACCATGTCACTCCCCTATTCAATAGGTTCCAATCATCTCTAGGATTAAAACCCTCTTTTGGGCACTCAAAGCCCTCTACCACATGCCTTTGACCAATCTTTCCAATTTTGTTGTATGTTACTCTGCATCTCATACTCTCAGCTCTCAGATCCGGAAAAAAACAAAAACAACAACAACAACAACAACAACAACAAACTCTTTCTCTTTCTGTCTCTCATTCTCTGTCTCTGGCTTCAGAGGAATCTTTAGTGTCTCTATATTTTCTGTACTCTAAAACATAAATTCTTCAGCCTGAAGTTTAAAGCCTCCCACATCCTGTCTTCAACCTATCTTTTCAGACTTAACTTACTTCTTCACAAACTCTACATTACAGCCAAACTAGCCTCCTAGCTGTTCCTCAACCTGGCACTGCCACCTGTTCTCTCTTTGACTTCATGCAAATTGTGCCTCTTCCCCATTCCCAGAATGCCCTCTCTCCTCACCTCTACCTGTTAGCATCACAGGGTTACTTTAAAGCTCATCTCAGGTTCACCTATTAGAAGTAGTTTTTCACAATACCCCCTCCCCTAATTGTTATTGCTCTTTCCTGTACTGTATTGCCTTTTATTTACTTATCGGTGTGCATATTGTAACCACTGAGTAGAAAGTCACCAACTTGAGGCTAGGGATCATTTGGCCTTTGTATTCCTAACTTATAACATGATGACTTCTCCCTAATAGCTACTGAGAAGATGTGTTGAATAGAATCATCTTCTTGTCTTCATCTCCCTTCAATGTTTTTACCTGACACTATGTTACAATGAATCAGATGGCAAAATGTCTTGATATAGATTGGCTAACGCTTTGAAAGGCAATGACGTGTCATCATAAGATCAGAGTCGTTTATTCATTCCCCTATTGGCTCTTTCCATTATATCACACAGGGTTATCTCAGAAATGATACTCATCTTGGGCATTCACTGCCTCTATAATCTTGGTCTAGTTGATACATTCCAGGTCGTCATATTCCTTTATGTGTAAAATGAACTGGGTTAGACTATATACTATCTGAGGGTTGTTCGTGTTCTACGTCTATCATGATCCTATGATCTTTGAAAAGTACTGGGTAGGGGTTTAGGTCCTAGGTACGAATACATGTCAAGATATTTAAAACGAAGGGTAATTCTCCAAAATATAGGTCAATGAATTTCATTTAGGTTCTTATGAAAAGCATGGAATATATTATTTAAAAGGTGGTTTGTGAGTACTTTACAAGTACAGCAATGATCACTGGAAACCATTACAGATTCACAGAGAATGAAGCAGGTGGACTAAGCTTATTTAATTTTTTGACAGGGTGACTAGATCAATCAATTGTCCCAGTACCAAATGCTACCACATTTAAATTTCATCAAGGAATCCGACAAAGTTACTCAAGACATCTTTGTATAAACAGTAAAGAGATTTACACTGAAAGATCATAGGTGTTGGTGCATTTAAAAGTGATTAGATGACATTGATCAGCCCTGTGATAGTCAGCAGTGACAGAGTCCTGGATTGGCCAGAGTAGCTATAGAAGAGCAAATATCGTTACTGTTGGAAATGGAAGGAATATAATAATGTATAATAAGTGTTCGAGTTCTCTATGATTTTCAATCATATCATGACCCTAGAAGAACAGAAAAGAGAAAGACCAGCCAAGTAATGATAATTATAATTAAAAGCCCAAATAAGTACTCATTGATGAGGGCCTTTCTCATGGTTCAGCTTGAGGGCAGGGCTCTTATCCATGCACTTCTATAACTTTACTACAGAGAGTTCACCAAAATATGTTGGAAACCTTACTCACTTTCTCCAGAAATTATGAGGAAACAAGTGAAATGTGGATTGTCTTCAGATTGTCTCTTGCTTTGACCATAAAATTCTCTTTTTCAATGTTTCATTTCCTTGATGACATCATTTACTTCATTTTTTTCATCATAGTGACTTCTTTATTATGATGTGACATACTGCTCATACCTACAATGAACCTCTATTGACACTGTGTTATATTCATTTTTAATTCTTTAGAGGTTGTAGTGAGCACAGCCATAAAATAACACTGGTAGAATACTCTTATTTTAAAAGATGGGCCTTTGCATCTGGGAGACATTTCATGTCGTTAAAAAGATTTGAAGTTTCCCAAAGGCAATTCATTCCAGTCTTTTTATCATGTTTTCTATACAGGAAGGTTCTAGAATCAACTTGTACCAACTTGTGAGAGCCAACTGTAAATTTTTTAGTGTAAGCATTTAAACCTCAGAAATCAATTGTAAATCAGAGCTTGATATATGTTTTATTGCCTAGATTTAAGAAAGCAATGGAGAAATTGTTAAAAATATACATTAAACTTAAAAGTATGTTGTGCATACGTTTTTCCCTAGAAAGCCAGTTAAGCATTTGCCAGTACATTCCTATCTGTCTATATATGTCAGCCTACCCATCTCTGGCTAATCTCTCTATCTCTCTATCTAAATAGTTATCTATCATCTATTCATACAGATGATTGATAATAGCTAACTAGCTATTGATAGATAAGTGTTATAGCTATAATATATCTAAATGCCAGAATCTAGACAAAAAACCAGTCCTCTTGTTATTGTTGCTGTTTTTCTGTCTGTATGGTTAGTCCAGGCTTTTTTGTGAGATTTCACATCTCTCACTTTACAATGTTGCTTGACTTGATGCAGTAAGCTGTGTCGCCCACAAACAGAAGCATATCAAGTGCCTCACTCACTCTCCGTTTCCTGTGCTTTCTGTGCCGTGCTTCCTCCATCACGAGCCTTAGTGAAGCAGTGGTTTAGAGCCGTCAAACACACTTGTCCTTGGTTTATGCCATACTTGATATTTATGGTCAAAGGATCATCTCAAGAGGTTATCACCCTTGTTATGTATATTTAAGGATTCTTAGACAATATTGGTATATTTATGGAGGTGCCTTATTAGAAGGGGGTCTTCATGCCATTATTTTGCTTTGCAATTTCAAATGCTTTAAATTAATTACAAAAAAAAATAAGGACAGGGAAGTTTTGTATTCTCATTGTTTTTTAGTCATTTTTATGGTGGCAAAAATGTGGTTTTCCAGGGAAAATCACTTATCAAAATCTGTCTGTTCTTTACTAATACTCTGGCATTGCATCGATGAATCCATGAGGCAGAAACTCCCTGCATTGTTAAAGTGTGGCAAGTTTTCTATAACTTAGAATCACAGATATTTTCTGGAGTAATGATGAGGAGCAACTTGACTTGCCCAAGGTCAGATAGCTAGCAAGGGTCAAATGTAGGATTTGAAGCCAAGACTTCTTGAATTCTACAACAATAGAACAATAAAACAGCCAATGCAATGGCCTTTTCTCAATTCCCAATCTCCTTACTCTCTCTGTAGCCTTGGACACTGTTGCTCCTTGCTACTCTCATCTCTGGGTTTTGGGGACACCACTCTCTCCTGGTTTTCCTTGTACCTCTATGACTGCTCCTTCTCTGTCTCCTTTGCTGGATCATCCTGAAGATTATGTCTTCTAGCCTTAGATGTTCCTCAGGTTTTTCTCCTGGGCATTCTTCTCTTCTCTCTCTATCCTATATCATTAGGTGATTTCATCCGCCCCCATGGATTTATTATCATTTCTATGCTAAAGATTCTTAAATCTACAGTTCCTGCCCCAATATCTCTTCTGACCTCCAATCTCACAACTCCAGCTACCATTCAGACATCTCAAATTGATGTCCAGTAGATGTCTTAAAGTCAATATATCCAAAACAGAACTTATCTTTCCCCTAAACCCTATGCTTCTCCTACATTGTCTATTATTATAGAGGGAACCATCTTCCTGGTCCCTCAGGCTCATAACCTAAGAGTCATCTAGGACCCCTTACTATTTCTTACCGCTCCCCCTATCCAAGCTTTTGCCAAGACCCATGAATTTCACCTTTGCAGCATCTGTCAAATACTTCCCCTTTTCTCCTCTGATATATTGCCACCATTCTGGTGTAGGCCCTCATCAACTCATTCCTGGATTATTGCGGTATCTTTCTACTGGATGGGCCTGCCTCAAGTCCCTCCAGTGGCTCCCTATTGCTTCCAGGACTAAATACAAAATGCTCTGTTTGGCATACAAATCCCTTCATAACCTAGCCCACTCCTACATTTCCAGTCTTTTCATACCTTTCTCTCCAACATGTATTATTTAATAGTAACACTGTCCTCTTGTCTGTTCTGTGTTCTATGAACAAGACACTCAATCTCTCAGCTTCAGAAATTCTCTCTTTCTATCCTCTGTGCCTAGAATGCTTTCCTCCCTCCATTCTGACTTTTGACACTACTGACTTCACTGACTTTAAGTTACAAATAAAACCCCACCTTACTTCCAGTGCCTTCCCTCTGTTCATTATTTTCTGTATGTGCTGTACATAGTCTACTTCATATATATTTGTTTGTATTTTGTCACTTCCATTAGATTATAAACTTCTCAAGAAAAGGGACGGTTTTTAAAGCCTCTTTTTGCATCATCCATGCTTTGCAGAGTGGCTGGTACATAGAAGATGACTAATTAAATGTTTATGGATTGATAATTATTGATTGATTGATTGAAGATTTATAATTTATATTGCATTTTCTTCTGTCATGTGAGTTAGTACAAACATCTGCATTGTCATTTAACAGGGGAAGAAATAAAGATTATGTAATTTTACATAAAGCTATTCACTCAGCTGCTAAATGCTAAGTATGGTGTGATAATCTCAAAAGCTAATTCTTCATTAAAAAGAGAAAGTTTCCAAGAGTGGGAAGCAAACAATTTTATAGTACTCAGACCACAGCTACAATACTGGGTTCAGTTCTAAGTACCTCAGTTTCCAAAAGCTGTGGCCCAGGGATAGAAATAACAAAAGGTAGAAATTTTATCTATAATGTTGCAAGTCTTATGTAAAAGGAAAGCTTCCTAACAATCTTAACCAAATTTGCAGTGAGTTAAATTAGGACTAGCTATATTCTCCATCACTGAAATCTTCAGGTAAAGATTGGATGACCAATTTTTAGATATACTAAAAAAGGAATTATTGTTCATTTTGGGGTTAAAGTCATCTCAGAGCCCATCTAGCCCACCTCACTCATTTCTTTCTTTTTTTTTTTTAATTGGCTTTTTGGTGAGGCAGTCAGGGTTAAGTGACTTACCAAGGTCACACAGTTAGTAAGTGTCATGTGTCTGAGATTGGATTTGAACTCAGGTCCTTCTGACTCCAAGGCCAGAGCTCTATCCACTGTGCCACCTAGCTGTCTCCCACCTCACTCATTTCAAAGAGATGGACACTGAAACCTAGCAAAAGGCAGTGACTTTTCTGAGATCATATAGTACTGAGTGGCAAAGGCTAGACTTCAGGCCAGGTTCTCTGAATTTAGACCAGATGTTTCCGAACTTCTTTGGCCTACTGCCTCCTTTTAAAAAATTATTCAGCACACCCCTGGAAATCTACTTTCTTTAACCCTTTAATTTTTTTTAATTTGCATTATTTCAAAAATGTAAAATATATTTTTAAACAATGATGCATGTTAAATTTAATAATTTATTGTAAATTTGTGTTTTTTTTCCTGCATTGAAATTTTGATGATGTAATACTGCATCGTGTAACCATGTAGTATTATACTGTAAATAAGTCATCACACACACATATTCCTGTTGATGCCCTGCTGGACATCCCAATAATGCACGACATGCTTGTCTGCCAACACTTGTTTGTTAAGACCTGTTGGTGGACTTGACCACTAATCAGTTATAACTTGCATTTTGTGTGTTCATTTGGAAAATAATGTAATCACCATGACCGTAAAACTCTGTTATATAGTAAGTGAAACATGTACAAATGGTTTTTTAAATTTTTCTTCTCTTCTTTCTTTATGCTTCTACTGCCCCCTTATTTTTATTCAATGCCCCCCAGTTGCACCAGAGGTGCTATACCCCCTCCCCCACATCACCCAGCAGCTCCTAGGAGGCCGTATTGCCTGTTTTGTGAACCTGTGATTTAGACCAAACATTCTTTGCCACTGTGTTACTTCTGTGGTCCCTTATGACTGAGAAACTGTGATTCTGCCCTGATTTCAGGCATTTCTTCCTATTGCACCATGTTGTAAATTATAGGAGTGGGGTGAGAACAGAACCACATAAGATGAAAAGTTCAATTCAAAGTGAAATATCATTCAGAGATTAGACCCCTTAATTCTGGGATAAAGCATCAGGGCCTCATTCTCACATGGTCAGATGGGCACATAGGTAATTACTACTTCACATAATTATTTTGGTCCTGTTTAAAAAATTCCTACAACAACAAGAACAACAAACAACACAACACATTAGAAAAATGAGTTTGAATCTGAGTTCTGTTGTTTACCAGCTTTGACCTGGTGTACATTATTTTTCTTCACAGAGTATTAGCTTCCTCTGCTGTAAAGTGTGTGTGTGTGTGTGGGGGGTGGAGTTAGCACTTACATTGTATTAACAATCATGAACTTTAGGATACCTTCCAATTCTAAGTTGCAGTGAGTCAGAAACCACAATGGGGCCTGAGGAAGAACCAAATAAAGATAGAGTTTTGAAAAGGAATTGTGTACTAACCAGACTTAAATGTACTCATATTCACTCTGAATAATTGAGACAGATTGACATTTCTGCTGTCTTTGTCATCTTAGAGGGACCATTGTGAAACTGGGTTTTACCAAATGGTTATACTATTTAGGAGAGATGTTTTCTTTCACAAGGAAGGAGAGTGGGTATTAAACTTCTACTTTTCTCATCACCCTTTTTGTTTAATAAATTAAATAAAATCAATACTTGTTAGCTTTTACATGAAGAGAATATTTTTTTTTTTGCCATATCTCGACATCTG